CCCCCCCCCCCGCGGGAGGGCTCAGTGATGCCCCCTCGTTCCCTCAGGACGCCGTGGGGCTGGTCTCCGGGAGAGACGCCTTTGCCTGAAGGCCAACGGCGACACCTTGAGCGGGGACGGGAGCTGCCCCGCCACCGAAGAGATGGCATTCAGCCCCTCCTTTCAGCCCTAGGAGGTCCTGGGCAGGGGTGGCAGCGTGTGGTCTTTCGTTACATTTTTTTTTTTTTTTTTTTTTGGGGGTAGGCGGGCCCTTCCCTTTTGGCGGTACGCGGGCCTCTCACTGTTGCGGAGCACAGGCTCCGGACGCGCAGCCTCAGCGGCCATGGCTCACGGGCCCAGCCGCTCTGCGGCATGTGGGATCTTCCCGGACCGGGGCACGAACCCGTGTCCCCTGCATCGGCAGGCGGACTCTCAACCACTGCGCCACCAGGGAAGCCCTCTCGTTACTTTTATCTGGACGTTCTCAGGACCTGAAGGGGCAGGGACAGCTCGGCAGAGGGAGGAGTCCCAAGCTTTCCCTGGGCTCAGATTAAGGACTGAGGGCACCCCGTACACCAGAACAGATGGGGCCCAGCAGTTCTCTGCCCTTGCTGTCGACACGGGAGAGCCAAGGATGGTTACTGGATGTGGGCCCCGGCTCATTCTTTTTCTGGGGGATTCCCGGGATGGTGAAGATCTTGGTCTGGTGGGCGTGCCTGATTTCAGCCCTGGGAGGACTACCACATGCTGCCAGGCATCAAGATAAGGACCCTGAGGGGAGATTTGCTACACCTCCCACCCTGTAGAGAGGGGTCTCACAGCCACCTTCCCCTGCTGTCAGCCCTGGGAGGCCACATAGCAGGGTTGCCAAATGTGGCATTTATTGACTTCCACTCTGGGAGTCTCAGGGAGGTGAGACTTTTTCTGAGGGGTGGACCTCAGGGTAATAGAGAGGACTGTGAGGGAGGATTGAGAGGACCTCCCTCCCAGGTAGATTTGGCCTCTGTCTGCCCTGAAAATACCCATCTTAGAGAGAAGGGGCCCCAACCCAGCCCTGCCCCTCTTGTCAGCCCCAGGAGACCACAGGCAAGGTTGGCCAGATGTGGCGTTTCCTGATTTTTGCTGAGGGGAGCGTCTCAGAGAGGTCACAGCGTCGGTCTGATGGGGAGCCACATCAGTTCAGAAGAGGGAGGAGTCCTAGACTCTATCAGAAGTCAAGGGAAGGACCATTGGGAGGCCTGAAGGGCCCCTTTCCCTGAAAAGAAGGATGCCACAGAATCTCAGCACTGGGAGGATCAGAGTAGTGGTGAGCAGATGGGAGGAACTCTCACTTCTGCTGCAAGCTCTACCAGGAGTCAAGGGGGTGGAGTGTCTCAGGGAGGTAAGGGCTGGGTTGGAGAGAAAACTTCAGGTCAGCAGAGGGTAGAACAGGCCTTGCCAGGAGTACAGATGAATACCTTGAACAAGGAGTGAGTGCATTCCCCATGCTAGAACAGACCCCAGGCAGGTGTGGCTGGATTTGGTGTCTTCTTACTTTGTCTGGGGTGTCCCAGAGAGGTGAAGGCTTTGGTCTGAGCTGATGACACCAGCAAAGGGGGGAGTCCCAGAATCTGAGGAGTCAAGGTAAGGCAAAGGCCTTGAAGGAGGACTAAGGTTACCCCCTAACACAGACAGAAGGGGTCTCACAGAAATTCCACACTGTCCCCACTGTCCACCCTGGCAGGATCCGGGCAGGAATACCCAGATGTGGTGTACCCTCACTCCCTGCAAGGGGTGCCTGGAGGTGTCCCTGGGAGGTAAAGCCTTGGTCTGAGAAGGATGATTTCAGGTCACCAGATAAGGTGGTCCCAGGCCCTCCCGGAGTAAAGAATATATTGAGGGAAGACAGAGGGAACTCCTTATCCCAGAACAGAGGGAACCCAGCCCCTGCTGTCAGCCATGGGAGACCCCAGGCTGGGGTAGCTGGATGTGATGTCTCTTCACTTTTGCCTTAAGGGTCTCAGGGAGGTGAAGGCCTTGGTGTGAGTGAGAAGACAGGTCAGCTGAAGGAGTCACATCAGGTCAGAAGAAGGAAGAGTCCCAAGCTCTACCAGAGTCAAGGTAAGGACCCTTGGTGAGGACCAAAGGTACTTCCAACCTCAGAAAGAAGAGACCCCATAGACTCTGCCTATCTCCTGTCCTCAGGCCTGGAAAGACTCAGGCAGGGTTGGCTGCATAGGTGTGCCCTCACTTTCTCCAAGGGTGAGAGAGGTGTCTCCGAAAGGTGAGGTCCAGTCAGCAGGGGGTAGCCTAGGCCCTGTCAGGAGTAAAGATGGATAACATGAGGGAGGATTGAGGATAGCCCCACCACAGGACACAGGGGGACCAGCTCTTGCTTTTGGTACTGGGAGGACATAGCAGGGGTGGTAAGATGTGGTGCCCCATTTTGGTCCATGGGTTCTCAGGGAGGTGCGGTCCTCGTTCTGAGGAAGTGGCAGTCTGAGGGGAAGCCACATCAGGTCGGCAGAGGGAAGAGTCCTAGACCCTGCCAGAGTTTAAGGTAGGGACCCTGAGTGAGGCCTGAGGGCACACCCTCACCCGAGGACCGAAGGCACACCCAGCTCGGCCCTTCCCCTGTTCTCAGCTCTGGGAGACCCTGGGCACAGTGGTCAGATATGGTGTACCCTCACTTCCCTCTTGGTGGTCTCAGGGAGGTGAGAGCTTGTTCTGAAGGGGCCAGACTCAGGACAGCAGAGGGAGGAGTCCCAGAACCTATCAGGCATCAATGTGAGGAATGAGGGTAACACTCAGCTAGGAGAGAGGGGGACCCCACAAACTTCATTCAGCTCTTTCTGTTACCCCCGGGAGGCCCTGGGCAGGTGTGGTCGAAAGTGTTGCCCCTTCACTTCCTTCTCATCTGTTTAAGGAATGTGACCTCTTGCCTTAGGCTGGCAGAGGCGCAGGAGGAGGGGGCACAAGCCTCTTTAGAGGAAAGGTAAGAACCTTAGCGTGGAGGGGATCGTCACTCCAGAAGAGCGGGAACCTCACAGAACTCGGCCCCTCCTCGCCTGTCAGGGGCTTCAGGAGCCCTGAGATGAGGGGCCTGGGTGTGAGGCACAGGTCCTCAGGTCAGCAGAGCAGAGGAAGCCCAGACAGTACTGGGAGACAAGGTAAGGTGTGCACCCTGAATGTCTGCCAAGGACCCCACAGTGCCTGACCCACCTGCCCACAGTCAGCCCTGGAAGCCTCAGGTTGTACTGGTTGGCTGCACCCTGAGGAGCTTTCTCGCATCTTCCTACAGGTTCCTAGGGGACAAACTGTCCAGGGAGACAGGAGCCCTGTGAGGCCCTAGAGCACCCCCTAAAGAGGGGATCTGATCTGTAAGCCAGCCTTTGTCAGAGCTGCCAAGGGTGCATTTCTCTGCTGAGGCTGCTGACCTGCTCTCTCTCTCCCCCAGGCCCTTGGGATCCCATCTCCCAACCTCCTGCTTGCACTTCTACCTGCTGCCTCCAACAAGAGTCATCATGCTTCACTCTCCAAAGCATCTGCGCCTCACATTTGATCCAGGCTTTCAGACCCTAAGTGACATACAAGACCTGCTGATAGTGCAGGTTCCCACAGCTGAGGAGGAGGAGGAGGAGGAGACTGCCTCTGTTTCCTCTTGCTCTTTCACCTTCTCCTACCCCTCAACTTCCCCCCCTTCCTCTCCTCTGCTACTGGGCACCCCAGAGGAGCAGGAGGAGCAGGAGATGGAGGAGGAGGAGCAGGAGGAGCAGGAGCAGCCTGCCGCTGTGCCATTGGGTCATCCCCAGAGTCCTCAGAGCCCCTTCTCCGCCATGCCATGGAGCACATCAGATGGAAGCTCCAGCATCCAAGGAGAAGAGGGCACACGCTCTCTCCAGGCCTCAGCACACACCAAATCCTTGTTCAGAGACCTGCTGGATGAAAAGGTGGCTGATTTGTTGCATTTCATGGTCCTCAAATATCGACTGAAGGAGCCCTTCACAAAGGCAGAAATGCTGAAGGTTGTCATCAAAAAGGACAAAAACCAATTCCCTGTGATCTTCAAGAAAGCTTCTAAGTGCCTAGAGGTGATCTCTGGCATTGATGTGAAGGAAGTGAACCCCCAAATCCACTCCTATGTCCTTGTCAATTCATTAGACCTCACCCATGATGAGATGCATAGTGATGACCAGAGCATGCCTAAAAATGGCCTCCTGGTAATCATCCTGGGTGTGATTTTCATAGAGGGCAACTGCGCCCCTGAGGAAAACATCTGGGATTTCTTGAATATGATAAACGTGTATGCTGGGAGGGAGCACTTCGTTTATGGGGAGCCCAGGAAGCTCATCACCAGAGACTGGGTGCAGGAGAATTATCTGGAGTACCGGAAGGTGCCTAATAGTGATCCTCCACGGTACGAATTCCTGTGGGGTCCAAGGGCCTATGCTGAAACCAGCAAGCTGAAAGTTCTGGAATTTTTGGCCAAGGTCAAAGGAACTGACCCCATTTCCTTCTCACACTGGTATGAGGAGGCTTTAAGAGATGACGAAGAGAGTCGGGGCCACAGTTGGCCCCTTGGATAGTACTATTGCCATGTTCATTGTGCAGCCTTCCTCAGCAGTTTCTGACCCAACTGAAGAATGAGTGCAAATCTTCACTCCGTGCTTGGAGAGGGCAGGCAGGGTTCTATGTAGAGGAGGGTCGGGGTCAGGCTGGGGAGAACACACTGTGCAACAACTTTGTGTTCCTGTTCTGTGTGGGTGACTTGAAAGTTTATCTTTTTTTTTCCTTTTGGTATTTTTTTCAAATGCTTTTCCTTTAACAGGTTCATTAGCCTTAGAATGTTTAAAAATGATATTGGTCACATTTATTGCTAAACATCAGATTTAAGAATAAGAGTTTTGGGGCTTCCTTGGTGGCGCAGTGGTTGAGAGTCCGCCTGCCGATGCAGGGGACACGGGTTCGTGCTCCGGTCTGGGAAGATCCCACATGCCGCGGAGCGGCTGGGCCCGTGAGCCATGGCCGCTGAGCCTGCACGTCCGGAGCCTGTTGCTCCGCAATGGGAGAGGCCACAACAGTGAGAGGCCTGCGTACCGCAAAAAAAAAAAAAAAAAAAAAATCAAAACTCTTATGATCTTAATCTTAATAAATAAAAAAATCTTCTCACTGATTTATTCATCAAATATTAACTGGGTATTTTCTCTTTGAAAAGCACTGTGTTAATAATGGAAATTCTAGGGTAAGCAAGACACACCCCTACTCATAGAAGGGTAGAGGTTAGGAGCAGCAATCATATCAGGAACATGGTGAGATGTCCTCCATTACCTAAAGAACAAGTAAAAGAAGAGTGAGGAGGTGGGACTCCAGATGTGAGCAGTGCAGTGGAAATGCCCTGAGCTAAGGCAGTCTGGGGCTTTGGGAAATGGCAATTCCTTCTATAGGAGTTCATTTTAAATTAAGCTGTGGGTGGTGGCAGGGGCCAGACTCTCAGACTGTGTGTTTTAGAGGTGAGAGAAGAGCCTGGAATGGAAAATTGCTTAGTAGTTATTTTTGGATCAGGGATAAACCAGAGGGAAATCCCTACCTGGGGCAGGTATGAGAGGTACCCTGAACTCTTGTCCCAGTGCAGTTAATACAGTGCATGAAGGTGCTCTATACATATCATCTGCAGTGATTTCTTGAGAATAGGGTGATACTCTCTTGAGTTGGTACCCAGAAGCCATTAGGCTGGCACTCCTTTCCCTGGCCTAAGAGAGCCAGAGCCAACTCTGTTAAAATCACATTAAAGGTAGGTTATCTTGAGTGTAATTAGGCCAAATCTAAGCAGGGTCTAGGCTTTGGTGGCAGTGAAATGAATGAAAGCAGTATTTAGATGGATGAATACCTGGGAGAGAAGGAAGGAGTTAGTCTTTCACTTAAATTCTAAGAGCTTTGAGTTATATCAGCTGTGGAAGACTAACCCATACCCCAAATTAATTTATCCTCTAAGAGGAAAAATTTAATGAGTTTTGTGAAGCTGCATTTTTGCCTGATTTGATTGAACTGTGTATTATTTGAGACATCCTGGATAAAAAAATCCCAGAGGAGAGGGCAGTAAGGTCTGGGGACAAAAAAAATACTAGAAATAATTGCCATTCATTAAAGATCTAATAAATGCCAAGCACTGTGCTAGATGCTTTTCTTACTTTGCATACGTTCCAGCAGTCCTACAAGACAGGGCTTATCAAACCCGTTTTACAGAGGATGCATCCAAGGCTCATAGTGTTAGTAATTTCCCCAAGATTATACTGCTAGTAAGTGACAGGGCTGGGACTAGACCATGGTCTGAATTCATCTAGGGCCCACGTTGTTCCCACTCCTCCTAGCCCAAGGCAGGTCTGTCTTCTATTTCTCTTCTCAGTACTGTATATCTCTCAGGTGACAAAAAGAAGGACCATGTGATGGTACTAAAAGCAGGCATAGAGACGGAAGGGGAAATGAGAATAAAACGTAATTTGGGGATTGTCTGAGCTTTATTTACCTAGGGTCCTCCTGCTTAGAGACCTAGGATACCCCAATAGCTAACTCTGCTCAGGTGCTGCATTTGTGTCCAGTCCTAGCAATATCCTGACTTACAGCATGCTTCTCCTGATCTTCCCCAGTGTGCCCTCCTGTCCAACTCTGGAACCTGGCCTGCTGGCCAGCTGCTCACTGTCTCCTCATCTGAAAGCTGTGCCCTGCTCCCCGTGGACAACCCAGAAACGCCTACCTTCCCCCTAACATAGAATATTCCTACTCCCTGCAGAAGTCCCCTGCTGTTCCATCTGTTACTCTGGAGCCCTAATAGCAACAGCCCCTTCAACTTAAAAGTTCAAATTGGAAAGCTCAGATAGATAGTGTTGTTTATACTGATCTGTAGTGAGTTGAATCCCCCACCCCAAGATATATATATATATATATATATATATATATATATATATAATATATATATCCAGGTAGATATATCCAAGTCCTAATTTCCAGTATCTCTGTATGTGACCTTATTTGGAAATAGTCTTTGCAGACGTAATTATGTTAGGAATCTTGAGATTATCTTGGATTTAGGGTAGGCCATAAATACAGTGAACGGTGTACATATAAGAAAAAAGGGAGATTTGATACACACAAGGGGATATGAAGAATGGAGGCAGAGATTGGAGTGATGCATTTATAAGGCAAGGA